CTACGCGTCATCTTTCCCCTCGTTGTTGTTGTCATCATCGGGGGGGCCCGAACCCAACCAATCTAGCTTCTTCGCATCCTCCGGCCCCGTTATGCTCGCGTCGTGCCTGAAACCAATGCTGCAGGGTGCCCATTGAGGGATGTAGTCGGGGTACTGTCCGAACGTAGCTTTCGCCTTCCGGAGCCTCTCTGTGACGACTTTCGTGGCACGGACGACGGATCGTTGATGATCGAAGGAGCGATGCATGGCCGCGACGAGTGTGGGCTTCGCCACGAGGTTCGCAAAGTAGAAAGCCTCATAGTGGCTGCACGGATCGTCTCCCGCCATGCGCATTATCCACATGCACGCCACCAACAACAGCCTGAAGTAGTCAACCACCGAACAAAGACGATCGTGCGCGATGAACTCGTTGTCGATGAGCGCCCCCATTTGCACCGCCGCGCGGAATGCATGCGCGACGCAGATGACGATGGACTCCTGGTGCGCCGCCATGTCGTCGTCGTCCGGTCTGTCCTCGATGTTGGCGCCAGCGAACTACAGTGGCAAGTCCATGGACATATCTATCGTGTGCGCGCAAACCGCCGGACGGACGACGTCGCACCACTCCTCGTCGTACCACATAGCACGCGCAATGTCCGTGGCAAAGGATTCCAGTGAGTACTGGAAAGCCACATGGTATCCCCTTGGGCGGTTCCCAGACTTGAATACCCAACCGTGCGAGATGCGCAGAGCAACGTTCTCCACTGCCACCGCACGGGAGATCGTTTGCTGCAGCTGTGATTGGTCGACGATCCTGCCTACGTGTGTGTTGGATTTGGGCAGTACAACGCTCCGAGGGACGGCAGGCGGTGGAAGTCCGCTGGCGATGGTGACGAAGTACTCTCTCGTATCGTGGACGATGTTGTACAGTCTTCGCCCCTCCCCCGTCATCCAGAAAGCTTTGTCATCGACCCAAAGGACGGCACGATCGATGAGGTTTTTTGTCATCACTCCCCTACGTACCCGGCTTGAACCGGGCTCGCCGCCCTCCCGATCGCCTTTCTTCTCGCCACGCGCCTCCTTTCTCGTCGTCGCCACAACTGCTGCCTCCTCTCTCGCCATCGCAACAGGGGCCACAGTGCCTAAACCACCCGCCCCCGCAGCACTTGCCACTTCGGCCCCAACTGCGTGCGGGCGATGTGCGGTACCCGACGGCGTACGGCCCCCGCCGCCGCGTTGGACGGACACTCCGTCACCACCCTCATTGCGCTGACGTGGCTGAGACGGCGTGGCGGGCAGCCTACCCGAGACTGGCCTTTCGTTTACAGCAGCACGTGCCATCACCGCCAGCGGTGGGGTCGCCGTTGTACGAGTGCGCATGCGACGTCTATCCAAGGGCTCGCCATCCTCGCCGCCAAGATCGACGACGGCAGCCTTCTCTGTCCGTGTTTCGCGGGCACAAAGTTGCTGCGCCTCGGGTGGAGGGCTCAGCATCCTCTTCGAAGCGCTGTGATTAAAAGAGCGATGTCGACCGCTCTCCCGTACTGCAGACCTGGTCGCCTCTGCCTGTTCCTCCTCCGTCGTGAACTCTTCGTCGTAGTCCCCTTTCGTTGTTGCCGCCCAACCTTGCGCTCCACGACGAGGCACCCTTGCTGACGCATCTTCTGAAAGCACCCTCTTCGCTTTCGGGGCATGCCGCCGACCTCTTCCGTGCCCTTGGTTGTCGTCAGGGACTACATCGCGCTTCTTCCCACGGGTGTTCCCCCTCGTAGACATGCTTCGTGGCGACCTCTGCAGGCGAGCTTGGCAGTGTGATCGGATGAGCGGGAAGTGCTTCGCCGACCACCGTTTGAAGTGTCGCCAACCTTATGTCTCCCGTGCTGCTGTGGCGTGACGACGACGGATACCCCCGCGACGCAGAAGATCTGTCCTCCGCGGGAAGAAGACGACGACGTGCACGTGGTAGACCAAAGGACGACGACCCCGGCGAGAGTACTCCGCGGCGAAAAGACTTTCGGCGAGAAGAATAGAAGAGCGACGCTCACATTGATCCGCGGCGAGATGATTGACGAGCGACGTCGGCGTGGTAGACAGAAGGATGCACACATTCCAAAGATCGTCCACGAGACGAGATGGCTAGAATGGCGTCGGCGGAGGTCGTCCAAGGAACTGAAGATGTCCGCGCAGAGCGAGCGACATTTATCCGCGGTGAGCAGGCTTGTACCACTTCCACGTCGTTGCGGTCGGTGTGCAGCAGGCACGGCGGGCTTATGTACTGGAGACACCTTCGTGCGGACGACATACAGGCGGGATGGGRTGSGCAGGACTTAAGTACTCTCTCGCGGATGGACCTCCCGCGACGTCGCTTCTCTGTGGCGGGAAACGACATCGTCGACGGTGGCATGTGCGACCGCCCTGCCCACACTGGCGTGTCATTTCGATCCTCCCGAAGGCGCGAAAAAACCCTTCGACGTCCCTGGCGACGTGCGTCAATTCACTCGTCAGGGACCGAACCCCTGGCCACCCCATCGCGTCTCCCCCTCGCAGCCACCAAACACACCCTCA